CAACAAAACCGAGCCAGTCCCTGAACCCCGGATGAATCGGGATGTGCCAATAAATGTCCCGGAGGTCCAGGGACACAATCCAAGAACCCGGCTCAAACAGGAATCAAACTTGAGACAGTGTAGTCATCCGAAAAGAAGGGCAATGAACCCAGGGGTTCAGATGGGACAAGTCCAGAATGAACCTCAGGACCGCACAGTCCCATTTTGGCACAGGAAACAGACGGGAAACCCATCTGAGGGATGATGTCGTTTCGACGACGCCCAAGTGAACCCACTCCAAGACGACTCGACAGAGAGTAAGAGAAGAGGCCTGCCCCGCTAGCCCCGAACCCCCCAAAGAAAAAGGGGCCACCGAACGACACCGCAGGCCGAAGGAATGACCCAAAATGCCCACAAATCGTGAAACCAGGCGTGAGCGAACAGCGCAAGCCTCCCCCCGTCGCCCCGTTAATAGGGCAAACTGCGAAAGTGCCGGCACCCCTTACGAGACCCAGAACCTCGATAGAGTGAGCACCGCACCAACCAGATGAAGGCGGGTCCAAAGGCAGAACCTGAAACTGGCACCAGTGGCCTACCACGATGAGTGGAACCTGAGCCCTGGCACGACCTCTCCGGGAAGGCCCCTTCCCGGGACCCCTGGAGAACCAACAAGTCTGACATAGGACGGCAACTGGCTGAAGCAGCCTGAATATACTGTGCCACGGCCGAAAGAGCAAAAAGCAAAGGACAAAAAAGTGAAGACATCCTAAGAGTCAGGGCCAAGGCCGATTCCAAGGAAGAGGCAAGCACTGCCTGCCGACACGCAAGCTGGGAAGCGAAGAACAGAGAAACCGCATCCCGCAAGATCGGCGCAAACAGCTTCAACAAGGCAGACGATGTGCGCACCACCGAGCCCAAGGCACTGGAACCCGGAACGGCCCCGAGCGCCCCCACATCCTCCCCAAGCCACTCCGAAGACAGCTCCTGGAGGGAAAGAAGCGCAAGGCCAAAACCAAGAGGCAACGGGCACGCAAGTCCTCAGCCACCTGCGCAGCCGAAAGGGAGGGAGCCTGCACATGAAGCTGCAGAATGCCAACATCCCAGGGAAGGGCAGAAGCAAACAAAGTACTCATTGAGGTGCTCAAGGCCACCCCCCAGGAAAACCTGAACCACCGTCGAGACCTCACGCCACTTAAGCGTACGAGAATGACAGAAAGAATGCCAAGCCTCCAAAGCAAAAATAGGACAGTCCGTTGACCAGACCACACACTAGAAGGTGAAGGGACGATGACGTTTCGGTCCGTCCTGGACCATTCTCAACTCAATTGTCTTGACTTGACTTGAGAATGGTCCAGGACGGACCGAAACGTCATCGTCCCTTCACCTTCTAGTGTGTGGTCTGGGGCCAGATTCATGAAAGCACTTATGCAAGTACTTACGAACGTGTACATTTTTCCTCAACCTTTGGCGGCTTTGGTTACATTTATTAAACAGTTTACAAACATGAAAACTTCCCAATCAACTGTTGTTATTGTTATAAACAGCCTCCTGGTGCTTCGGAGCTCATTAACTGTTTAATAATTGTAAACAAAGCCGCCAAAGATTGAGAAAAGATGTACAAGTTCATAAGTGCTTTCGTGAATCTGGCCCCTGGTCAACATACTTCAGCCATGTTATTGTGAGTCATCGCCTGCATAAGACAGTCCGCCAGTCAGGACGACTACGGAAACTCGTAACGGACCCAGAAAGAGAAGGAATTCCCAAACCTGAAAGACAACGGATCCATCAACGAGGCGTAATCCGGGTCAAGCAGGAGATAAGATGCGAAGGCTGACTGCACCACAGACGGTTGGATGCAGGAAGCCGAAAAACTCCAAAAAGACGGAACCGACGAACCCGAGGGAACACGGAACCAAACTTGGGGAGCGGCAGATCCCAAATCCAAATCGTACGCAGAGGGTGGGGGGGGGGGGGAAGAGAACCCTACTTCTTGTAACAATAAGCCCCGCTCCGAGGGTAGAAAAACCCAGGCGGGGTCCAGCGGGGCCCAAGCTCCCCAAGTCAGCCCCTTCCCAGCTCCAAGATCCCCCTCCTCGGGACCCGAGGTCGAGTCATCCCCCAGAGAAAAGGCCCCTAAAGAAAAGGTTCCTAAAGAAAAAGCCAGGCGCAGCCGAGAAAGTCGAACAGAAGAGGGCCCACTGGTCAGACCCAGAGGCTTCGGCAGGGAGAGTGGACTCGAATGCCTCCGTTGCCACACCGGAAGGGGCATACCCTGAGACCGCTTGAGACTCAAGACCATCTAAGCCCTACCCCGACTCCGAAACTCTCAGACGCATCGAGGTCGGAAGCAGGGTGGAGGGGGACCAGGACGTACCACAGCAGGAAAAGGATGAGGGTGTGCGGACTGAACCAAGGTCGAAGCGACCCCCACCCCCATGTCCGAGTCCCTATAAGCAAAACGGAGCAGTCTCCGGGTATCCAGGTGAGCAACCAATCTAGCGCGTGGCAACAACCTAAACCGAGTATGCAACGCATGCACAGCCTGCACCACCTGTACCCATAGATCATCATCTTGAGATTGGGTAAACCGAGTCACAAGCAAGCAACAGAACTCGCATGACTCCGGGTTGAAGGTGTCACCGACCCAACAGGCAGCGTGACAGGGGCAAAAACCGTGAGGGTCACCCTGAGTCAAGGGGACCGAGCAACCCTCGAACTCGCATGAAGAGAAGATGGGACTCCGGAGACACATCCATCGGACCCATGCGCCCCCTAGGGAATTCCCAGGGCCCTGAGCGCTTAATGGAAATGCACGCCCAGGAAATCCCAGGCAGGGTGCTTCTAACAGGTGCCCAAAACTACCAAACAACTGTCTAAAGCTGAACCCCAGGATGTGTACACTCACGGAGACCTAGCAGGGGGCACCACCAGAAGAGAACCGTGCACAGGTCAGTCACAAAAAAAGGGGAAAGCAAGGCAGACCCCCCTACAAGGCAAAAAGAAAAAGAAATACAAAACCCCAGAAGAGGACAACGTACCCCAAGGAACAGAGCCGGCCACTGTAAGTGGTGAAAACAAGCTGCGCAGTACCCTGTGCCCCACCAGTGCAAACTGCCTTTTACCCTAAGGTAAACCAGGAAGACAAAACCCCTAAGCACCCAGAGGGCAACCAAAAATCGAGCAGTGATACGGCCTAGCAGAGGCAGACCCTGAGGAACTTGTGGAAGGTAGCCCCAAGCTCCAAGGGCAGTTCTTACAGGGCACCTAGGGATGAGAACCCTAGGTGCATGCAGCCCGAGTATTGTAGAATAACTCCTGGCTCTTGCTTCCCTGGAAGACAGCCACCACACTCGAAGCACAGTGCTGGAAACGCTGGAGCCAAGCACACGAACTCCGCCTCTAGCATCAGCCTTAGATATGACAGGTGGATAGCCGGCATGTGGGGTCTGGGGCACCCGCTTCCCCCTCCCAGGGAGGGGGTAGCTGTGCAGACAGCGGCGCGATGACGTGTGACGTCATGCTCGTTTCTTTTAGGGGAGTTCTATCTACTTGTTCGGCTTTTGATAGCCATATTTTCACCAGTATTGGGGTTTGTTTTGGGATGCTTACCTTACTGGGTGCCTGACCCGGTTGATGGCAGACATAGAAGACTTCCAAACTCACGGGGGAGTCTATAGACTATTGCTCCCCATGCCTCTTTGAGGGGGACCAGGTTCTGGCTCGTGGTCCCCAGTAGACCCACAGAACTCCATATACATGACTGATGTCAAAGTCTGACATTAGCATATCAGCCTAGTAAGCTCCGGGGAGCCAAAGGGACTCCCCCCAGAAATTGTATACTGTATTAACTGAAAAATCAGACATTTTTGTGCAAATACTTGTGACACTAATATGTGACAACAAAATAAATTTACAACAGTTGTATTATAATAAAACCTCAAGTGACAACATATTGTACCACACCAGTGAAAAAAATTGGTTGTAAAATATGACAAATACTGTAAATAATACAGCAAAAATAAATTTGCTGCAACTTGGGCTCCTTCTCTGCCACTCCTGACTCTGCCGGGATGCACCACTCCCCAACGACAATGACCAGTGACGTCATCGGGCTATATTTTTTTCCCGTGCTCAGGGAACACAAAGAGATAAACATGAAAAAAAAAATTGAATTTATTCTGGGGGAGTTATTTGGTGCTTGTGAGGACATACGTCGCACTTTTCAACCAGGCAATAGTTTCCTCTTGATTCGCCTACCTTTTCAGGTGCCTTCCCTAGTTGATGGCAAGATGACATAATTTAAATGTAAAATGTTCATGGGCCATTGCTCCCTTTGTTTCTCTGAGGGCCAGATTTTGGCTCGTGGTCCTCGGTAGGCTTACAAAGAACTCTGGACTGATGACACTTGATCAGTAAGATAACTTCAGGGAGGCTTCATGGAGCCTCCAGGGATCACTCAGAAACTGATGTTTCATTACATTCAACGCTGGTTTTGTATTAATCCTAATATCAGTACTGATTAACTCTTGCAATAAAGGATAAGATCACAAACATCAACTTGAAATAATGTGGCTTGTCTGAAATAACAGAGAAGTCCCGAATGAAGTATCTCCAGAATATCTCACTTGGAACAGGAAAGAAGTGGGGTCACACCCTCTACGAGGATGAGGCTACCCCGAGCACAACCTTGTCCAACAACTTGCAAGTGACATTGTGGAGATGACGAACAGACATCTAAACAATTATCAAGAGGCATCAAAGGAAGAAGGATATAGTCCACTGAATTCCTTGTGGTATTATCTTGGACTATGGTTTATTACAATTCTTTCACTTTCTCTTCTCATCTTCCTCAGTTTTCTATGACAGCACACATTATTATCTTCATTTAAGTACCCCTGTCTTCCATTTCCAAGATATACTACATAATTTTAATAAAGAAAAGTAGAATTGACTTTTATTATAATTTAGAGTATGTGAGTGGCAATCAATAAGGTTCCAAGCTACAAGACGGAACAACTAACCTGAACATAAGAAGCGGGGAAAAATCCTGTTTGGTTATTGAGTTCACCCTGGTACCAGTTGGAGTCGATCTTCTTCCCCAGCATTATTATATCTCCTTTTTTGAAACTAAGGTCCCTGAGGAAGAAATGCAGTATACTGTACTGTATATTAATCTAAATTAACTGAGGAATAAAATTTTATTTCAAGGGAATGAAATATTTGTCTGGATATTTTATGCTATTTCATTGTATTATTTAAATGAGTGCAAATTGTCACCCAGACTCACATTAATATCAAACCAGTCACTCATTAAATCACGAATCAAAGACTAGTTCATATGTTACAGCTGTTACTGGACAAAGAGAAGCTGGTTATCAATAAAAACATACCTTGCTTCTTTTCTTTCATAATTATAGAGGGCTTTTGCACAGGGTTGGAGGGTTGATATCTGGAAAATATGAATAATCAAATTATATGAAAAGAAAAACCAAAATACATGAATTATGCAATGTAACTCAAAAAAAATTTGATTCCAATCAGAATATAATTATACAGTGTAAGTTTTCAAGTTAAAATTTCATACAAGAGTTCCTTACTGACCTATATTTTAACCATTTGGCTGCATTGCCATACCTGCACTTAGGGTCGAAACGCAGCCAAAAAGCCAGCGTTTAATGTAATGAAACGCCATTTTCAGGGTGAGCTCCGGAGGCTCCCTGAAGCTATCTGAACTTATATGTGCTATATTAGCTTGGGGGGTCATCAGTTACAGGAGTTCTTATGCCTACCTGGTTCCCTCAGAGAGGTGCAGGGAGCAATGGCCTATAAGCACTTTACATTTAAGACTTTTGCGTCCTGATGACGCAATATGGGACATAAAACCAAAACACGCAGAGTGGGTGATGACGCAAAAACGGCGTCATTAACCCCTAAGCTGCTCTGGGCTATTTGGCTTTCAACACCCACAGGCGCAACAAAAAAAATAAAAAACCAGCATTGAATGTAATGAAATGCCATTTTCTGGGTGAGACCCGGAGGCTTCCCAGAGCTTATCCAGGCTGATATGCTAATGTCAGACTTTGGCATCAGTCATGTGTATGGAGTTCTGTGGGCCTACCGGGGACCACGAGCCAGAACCTGGCCCCCCTCAGAGGCATGGCCTGGCATTCAATGGCCTATAGAAACCTTCGTATGGTTGGCAGCATTCTATGTCTGCCATCGACCGGGTCAGGCACCCAGAAAGGTAAGCGTCCCAAAACAAACCCCTATTCTGGTGAAAATTGCTACCAAAAGCCGAACAAGTGGATAGAACTCCCCAAAAAGAAACGAGCAAACGAGCATGACGTCACACGTCGCCGCGCCGCTGTCTGCGCGGCTCCCCCTTCCCAGGAGCGGGAAGGGGGAGCCCCAGACACCCGCACTGCTATCCACCCTTCAGTTCTGAGGCTGGATGTCAAAACATGTGAAAAACTGCCGACATTCAACGCTGGTTTTCTGGGGGAAGTCGGGAACACTATCGCACTCCCGGCAGGCGGCCGTGTAACTTTCCCCTTGTGCGCCTGGCGCGTCGGGCAATCGAGCGGCAACATTGAAAAGTGTATACAGTACTCTTTTTAAGTGTTCTGACCTTATTTTTTGATGTACGTGTTTCATTTTGGTATCAATGTGTTCGCAATAGAATGTTCTAGAGGAACATATGTATAAAATGTCCCTAAAGCATGTGTGAGACCGGCACCAAATAAAAAACTAGGTCGCTCGTTAGCCATGAGCGCCAAACAGCGATGAAATGTTTTTACTGTTTTCAGGTTTGTCACCTCCACACTTGTCCTATATCGTCCATTTTTGTATCACTGTGATCGCAATAAAAATCCCTACACAGACATATGCGTATCAAGTCCAAATCGTGGTCCCGCCCCACCCGCTATAATGTGGGAAGTCAGGGAAGTGTTACCTGTTGCCACACAACCAACAGCACAGCGGCTACACCACAACTTGCAAAGCCATGGAAGAAGAAAATAGACTCTTAAAAATAGCTTTCGAAGAAGTTAAAGTAAATTTAAACATAAATGACTACAATAGGTTAGGTAAGGAATTTCAACAGGAGAAACAACTTTTGTCAGCACAGATGGAGGAAGTTACACAGGGAATAGAACAGTGCAAGAAAGATATGCAACTCACTTATGCACAAGTGGCCAAGGAGAAGGAAAAAATAGCAGAAGCAGTTAAGGAAGTCAAACACTGCAGCAACCAAGATAGAACAAACATTAGGCTGGAAGTGAGAAAAGAATTGGCATCTAACCCAAAGTTGGTGCAAAATACAGTTGATCGGAGTAAGTCCCTGATCATTTTTGGCTGCAAAGAAAAGGAGATAACATCTAGATCAGAAAGAGCTGTAGAAGAAGCAAAAGTAGTAGATAAAATTATTGGCCTCATGGAAGGTCTTACAACCATAGAGAATGTGTGCGACTACAGGAGAATAGGCAGATATGTAAAAGGGAAAGATCGACCTTTGAGGATCACCCTAAATGGTGCCAAACAGATGGAAAAAGTACTAAGGAATGCTAGAAAATTACAAAGTGATGAGGATGGGAAAGTGTGGTCTAACGACCTCACTTTCTGAAAGACAAGATTTTTCAAAAGAAGATAGAGAGAAGCTGAAACTGAACCTCGCCGAGGCAAAACGTTTAAATGAGAGCAGGAATGAAGAAGAAATCAATTCTTTTTTCTACAAAGTGATAGGGGTAGGCAGACCAGTAAAGTGGTACATAAAGGTAAACCAACAAAATCATTAGAGAGAGGGGAGTGAAAAATAAGAAGAGGGGGAACAAGTTCCTCAAGATTGCATACACCAACATAGATGGAGTGAGATCGAAGATACTGGAGTTAAGTGATATAATACAGCTGCAGACACCAGACATTGTTGCACTCACGGAGACAAAACTTGAAGATGTTATTTTAAATGAAGTTATATTCCCAAGAGGCTATTCAATTTGGAGACGGGACAGAAAAATTAGGAAAGGCGGTGGCGTTGCTGTGCTGGTGAAAGAACACCTAAAGGTGAACGAAATAATGACTGCCAATCCACAAGAAATTGACATAATAGCACTAGAGATCTGCCATGAGGATGATAAACTAATGATCATAAATGCATACAGTCCACCGCTAAGCAGCACATGGTCAAAGGAGGAGCTAGATAGTAAAAGAGAAGGTCTTATAACAATAATGAGAGAGATCATAGCGAGAGCGGATAACGATAGTTCACGACTGTTGATAGTCGGCGACTTCAACTTGAAAGCCATAGACTGGGAAGCATATGAAGCTGAAACAGAAGATTTCTGGACCTGTAAATTTGTAGACCTCATCCTGGAAACATTCTTGTATCAACACGTTGAACAAGCTACGAGAATGAGGGAAGGGGACGTTCCTTCCATGCTAGATTTGATATTTACCAGGAAGGAGGAAGAGATATTTGACATTTAGTACCTTCCTCCCTTGCGTAAAAGTGATCATGTCTTTTTGGGAATAAAGTATGCAATGCGTTACAATCTGGAAGAAAATAAGGAGGTTGAAGCAGTTGAAAAACCTGACTTCAGGAGAGGACATTATGGCAACCTTAGAAAAATTTTTATTGAGTATAATTGGACAGACTTCTTGCTAAGCAAGGAAGTGAATGAGATGTATGTCAAGTTTTGTGAAATATATGATAAAGGCACAAAAAAAATTATACCGAAACAAAGATGCAGAACTAGGAAACAGAATTGGTTCAACAGAAATTGCGAGAGGGCCAGAGACCAAAAGACACAAAAATGGAATCAATACAGGGAGAAGCCAAACCCCCAAACATACCAGTGATACAAAGATGCAAGAAACAACTACACGGCAGTGAGGAGAGGCAGAAAGAAATTTTGAAAAAGGGATTGCAGACAAATGTAAAACAGAACCAGGTCTATTCTATAAATTCATAAGCAACAAATTACAGGTGAAGGATAGTATTCAGAGGTTGAAAATGGGAAATAGATTCACGGAAAATGAAAAAGAAATGTGTGAAACACTAAACGAAAAGTTCCAAAGTGTGTTTGTCCAAATGAAATCTTCAGGGAACCAGACACAATAAGAATTCCAGAGAACAACATAGAGCACATAGAGGTGTCTAGAGACGAAGTGGAAATTATGCTCAAGGAGCTAAGTAAGAACAAAGCAGTTGGTCCAGATGGAGTTTCATCATGGGTTCTGAGAGAATGTGCACCTGAGCTCAGCATTCCACTTCAACTGATTTTTCTGGCATCCCTGTTTCCAGGAGTTGTAGCTGATGTGTGGAAAAAGGCTAACATAGTTCCAATCTACAAAAGTGGAAGCAGGGAAGACCCCCTTAATTATAGACCTGTATCATTGACAAGTTTAACAGTCAAAATATTGGAAAAAATAATTAAAACTAAATGGGTAGAACACCTGGAGAAAAACGATATAATATCAGACAGACAGTATGGTTTTCGATCTGGAAGATCCTGTGTAACGAACTTACTCAGTTTTTATGATCGAGCCACAGAGATTTTACAGGAAAGAGATGGTTGGGTTGACTGCACCTATCTGGACCTATAAAAGGCTTTCAACAGAGTTCCCCATAGGAGGTTGTTTTGAAAACTGGAACATATTGGAAGGGTGACAGGTAAGCTTCTAACATGGATGAAAAATTTCCTAACTGACAGAAAAATGAGGGCAGTAATCAAAGGCAAGGTATCGGATTGGAGGAATGTCATGAGTGGAGTACCACAGGGTTCAGTTCTTGCACCGGTAATGTTCATTGTCTACATAAACGATCTACCAGTGGGAATACAGAATTAAATGAACATATTTGCTGATGGTGCTAAGATAATAGGGAAGATAAGAAACCTAGATGATTGTCATGCCCTTCAAGAAGACCTGGACAAAATAAGTATATGGAGCACCACTTGGCAAATGGAATTTAATGTGAATAAATGCCATGTTATGGAATGTGGAATAGGAGAACATAGACCCCACACAACCTATAAATTATGTGAGAAATCTTTAAAGAATTCTGACAAAGAAAGGGATCTAGGGGTGGTTCTAGATAGAAAACTGTTACTTGAGGACCACATTAATTTAATTTAATTAAGAACATTGTGCAAGGAGCCTATGCTACACTTTCTAACTTCAGAATTGCTTTTAAATACATGGATGGAGAAATACTAAAGAAACTGTTCACGACTTTTGTTAGACCAAAGCTGGAATATGCAGCGGTTGTATGGTGCCCATATCTTAAGAAGCACATCAACAAACTGGAAAAGGTGCAACGACATGCCATTAAGTGGCTCCCAGAACTGAAGGAAAAGAGCTACAAGGAGAGGTTAGAGGCATTAAATATGCAAAAACTAGAGGATATAAGAAAATGAGGCGATATGATCACTACGTTCAAAATAGTAACAGGAATCGATAAAATTGATAGGGAAGAATTCCTGAGACCCGGAACTTCAAGAACAAGAGGTCATAGATTTAAACTAACGAAACAAAGCTGCCGGAGAAATATAAGAAAATTCACTTTTGTAAAGATAGTGGTAGACGGTTGGAACAAGTTAGGTGAGAAGGTGGTGTAGGCCAAAACCGTCAGTAATTTCAAAACATTATATGACAAAGAGTGCTAGGGAGACGGGACACCACAAGCGTAGCTCTCATCCTGTAACTACACTTAGGTAGTTACACACTTAGGTAATTACACAAAGGTTTGCGTGGTTCAAATGTTTGCCACCAGACTAGTACCCGAGCTGAGAGGTATGAGCTCCGAGGAGAGACTACGGGAATTAAACCTCACTTCGCTGGAAGACAGAAGAGTTAGGGGGAGACATGATCACCACATTCAAGATTTTCAAGGGAATTGATAGGGTAGATAAAGACAGCCTATTTAACACAAGGGGCACATGCACTAGGGGACACAGGTGGAAACTGAATGCCCAAATGAGCCACAGAGATATTAGAAAGAACTTTTTTTAGTGTCAGAGTGGTTGACAAATGGAATGCATTAGGAAGCGATGTGGTGAAGGCTGACTCCATACACAGTTTCAAGTATAGATATGATAGAGCCCAATAGGCTCAGGAACCTGTACACCTATTGATTGACGGTTGAGAGGCGGGACTAAAGAGCCAGAGCTCAATCCCCGCAAGCACAATTAGGTGAGTACACCACACAGGTGGCAAAGTCACAAAGCCAGACAATAATTTGAGGCCAGAGAGGATATGTAGAGACCGGCACATCAGTCTACGAACTGAGGATGGTGTGGCCGGCTCGCCTGAGCGGGGTCCCCCCCTCCACCCTGTCAGGGCCAGGTGGGGCACTAACGAGCGGTCGCGCTAGTTGGATGACGTGTTGCTTGTTTCATTGTTTTCTATTGGGTGGAGCTCTTTGGCTCTGTACGGACATAGGTTGCAATTTTAACCAATTAGAGGTTTGTAAAGGTTCAATTAACTCGCTGGTGGTATCCGAGGTCGATGGTAGACATGACAAACTCTAAATATAGAAAGCTCATATTGCCATTGCTCCCTGCGCCTCTCTGAATGGGCCAGGTTCTGGTTTGTGGCCCCCGGTAGGCACTCAAACTCGAACTAATATGACACATGTCAGTTTGATGTCTTCAGGGAACCAATGGGGCTCCTCACAGAAATCGCTGAGAGCAGCATACACCCTGAACGTAATGGGCACAACAACCTGAGACATGCGAACCCAGGAACAGGGAATCAGGGAAGCCAGAACCACCCAAAAAGCATCCACCATCACAAAACCAGTGATCCACAAGTTGCATCATAAACCCACCACCGGACATAACACATGATGCACCGGTGGCCTAACCAAGCCTCCACAACCAACGGACCCCACCAGAAGCCAGCCGTCTCATTCTTTGCCAGAAAAGAAGGAGAAGGATGCAAATGCACAAAATGACCACCTGGACCAAACGAACAGAACCCCCCCCCCCAACATCAGCAGAAAGCACGAAGTGCCCCAATCCGACCTCAAGAGGCCAAGGCCAACAAAAACAGACCTTCCAAAAGCATTCCCGAACTGAAGGAGCCACAACAATACGAGAAGAAAGAAAAGAAAGAACAGTCTAAAGACAAAGACTCTGTTCTTGGTTTTAGAACCAACCTCTTGGTCGACTCCTTCTCAGGTGGCACATGAGAAGGAGCCGGCTGACCCGGTCTGTCTTCCTCCATCCCCCAAACGAGGGCAGAAGGTTGGGAACAGCAGCTTGCACTAGATTCATAACTTTTATATCATTTGTTTATATTGTAGGTAGGGGTGTGGAGTTCTTTTAGTGTGTTTGAGGGAATGATAATTCCTTAGATAATTCCTAAGACAAAACTTAGTTTTGTCTTGCTGACTTTGTGGGTGCTTCCCCGGTGGTGCGGACATGATTCTAATTCACTAACAATTTGATCATAGCGCCACTGCTCTCTGCACCTCTTTAAACTGGGCCAGGTTCTGCCTCATGGTCCCAGTAGGCCTGAAAGAACTCTGCGACTGATGGCATCTAATAGATTGGCACAGTATCAGCATTGTAACTTCAGGGAGTCACAAGGAGCTTTCCCCCAGAAATCTAAAATTTAAATGTCATGTTTTCTATTAAAATATACAAACAAAAACTTTTCCAGCTATAGTTAAAAAAATCTTAATTTTCAAATAGAGTATATGGTCTAAGTAACTTAAATCCAGGATATTGTAATGATTGGTATGTAATGGACAGCTTTTATTTCATTATTCTAAATGGTTCATTTTATTTTTGTCAATAATGCAGTAATTTTTATGTTTCATTCGCAAATTTTTTGCATATAAGTCAAGTTGTATATGAGAGAATGTTTGTTTATGGTTGTAAAGTACTGTAGATTTCCCATGCATTTTTGATGTAGCACCACCACCACCACCACCCTCAGGGGAGAGCTGGACTCAGCTGAAAGTGGTCATGTGGTTGTGCTCAGGAGGCACCACCACCCACCTCAGTCCTGTAAGGCTGTTTACTTCAATTTCTTAAGAGATTGCAATGTACAGTTAATATGATGAGTTGGTAAGTTTATTCCAGGTTGTATTATGTCCCATTCGCTGTGCTTTTAAAATAAATGTGGTTTGTGTGACTCCTGCAATTTGTTCCCTCTCATATTTGAAGTGCATCTTTATATAATACATTTGTTCTGCGTTCCCAATTTTAAGTAACATACATGAACTATAGGGAGGGAAATATAATTTCAGAAATATATCTTTACCCTTACAAGGTAACTTGGGAATCACTCTAACTTTGGTTTCCTAGAAGTTCATGAAAGTCTCAATTGTTTACATACCTGTCTTTGTTGTACCACATTAGGTAATAATGTTGGTTGAGAGGTAGGAGATGAAGTTGAGATGCTTATGTTAAGGTTGCCAAAAGATGAGACACCAGATACTGCTGAACTCGTGCTGCCTTGAATGGAGTTTGTTTCACGCCCAAGAGATTCCCCATATCCTCTTCCACCTCCCAAATTGTTGCTACCTACTCCATTTCCACCACAGGAACCCCCTAGACCTCCAGTCCCTCCACCACCAATCCCAACCAAATATCCCGCAGAGGACAATGCAGCTTCAGAAGTGGTTGAGGAGGATCCTGAGTACGAGTTGGAACCATGATGTGATGGTGGTGGAGGAGCTTGAGTAAGTGGAGGACCATCCAGTGATTCAGGCCTGCCAGGAGGCTGACTAGGATGAGGAATTGTCTGAGACGGCTTCAAAGGTTGGCTGACTGCAGGCCGTGGAACACTTTTCATGCTTTCTAAAATTCTCATCAGCAAGATATTTGGTGGGAGTTCGTCTACAGGCACCTCTACTAAAACGCGGCATTCTGGACATCTTAGTTCCTGGAAATATAAGTAATAGAGAAAAACAGAATCGTAAAACTTTTGATCTTCATTTTAAGATGAACAAATGTATTTCACATAGTTGGAATACATTGATGTTAGCAAATACCAGTCTATGTTTCAGCTAGTGTCAGGTGTCTATCAGATAAAAATTTGGGTATACTGTAGATGTGTAATTACCTACGTGTAGTTAAAGGATGAGAGCTATGCTCATGGTCTCCTGACTTCCCAGTACTCTGTCATATAACACTTTGAAACTACTGATTATTTTGGCCAAACCACCTTCTCACTTAACCCTTAAACTGCGCTAGGTGTATATATACACCATGAGTAACATCCCACCGTGTGCATGGCGTATATATACACCATAGGGTGCCAGGTACGATTCAAATGGCCCGCAGCTACACGGGGTTCACATCAGCTTTCTCAGGGCTCTTGTAAACAGACGCCATGTTTAAAAAAAATCGTGGGCAATATTCTCCGGTGTGAGAGCCACAGTACTGTGGGAGCAACCAAAGCTGGTACACGCAGCATGAGCTAACAGCATTGCTATTCAACTTGTGACATTGCTTAAAAATGTCAAAATAAATATGTAACTGCTATTATTTAGCGATGACAGTATTACAGATGACCCGTTTGTGATAACAATGACCAGGATTGGGATAATAGCAATATTGTTGTGATAATTAGCGCTGTGTGGGAAGAGTAATGCTGAGGGAGGGAGGGATATAGCGTCGTTTACTGACAGTGTGGCCACCTGTTATTGCCTGCATTCACCATACTAGCTCAGTGGTTCTCTATGGTGAACACAAATGTAGATACTTATATATAATGTGTGTATTAGTGTAATAACAGCAAAAGGATTAAGTTAGGAGGAGCCATTTGGGTGATGGAGGTAATGTCGTCTGCATTACTTGTCTAGCTGTGTAGATGGTTGCCACTATGCTCTTTGGGCACTCTACAAGCTTAGGTGTACAGTTACAGTGCACAGAACATGTAGATACTTATATATATAATGTGAGTATATGTGTAATAACACCACAAACTGTATTGTTGAGGGAGAAATTTTAGTGCATCCGACCTTGAATGAGTGAAGGAGACAGCCGCCAGCTGACTGTGTGTGTAGTGACGTCTCTTAGTGCCTGAACTAACTACTGTATAAGAGCTTAATTGTACAGTTGTGGTGAACAAAACATGTAGATACTTTATATAAAACATCTGTATATAGTGAATAAAGGCAAAAACAGTATGGTGGGAGGAAACTGTGGGCTAGTGAGGTGTTGTAGAGGGAGGGAGTGGCACCGAGTGGCTGACTGGTGTGGCAGCCACTCTTCGTTGCTTTTTGACTCTCAATACCAACTTAGTGATTCGTTATGGTGAACAAAACATGCAGATACTTATATATAACCAGTGTATATATATATAGTGTAATAACAGCAAAACTATTCGTTTATTGTTTTATGAACATAATAATTGAATCACTAATATGCACACCATACTTTTGAGTATAGCGATGATTCACCTCTTTTATTACATAAATATATCACACTACACTATTGAATAATATTACTGCAAAAAACTAAGAAAAAATCAGAGATATTGAAATAATTAGGTGATAATATCTTTGTGGCAACTCCCACCTGACAGCTTAGGTGACGCTGACTGCCTCTGACGACTGCTCTGTCAACGTCCACATTTTGCCAGACTTCCTCACCCTATTGCGGCCAAATTACGTCATCTATGATTTTTTTTCATTTTTCCCATGCTCAGGGAACACAAATTAAAATTTTTAGACGACAAAAAAACCAGCGTTGAATGTAATGAAACACCATTTTCTGGGCGAGACCCATAGGCTCCCCGGAGCTATACCGGGCTGATGTGTATATATTAGACTGTGGCAACAGTCAGTCGAAGGAGTTCTAGGCCTACCGGGGACCAGAGCCAGAACCTAGCTCCCACCAACAGAGGCACGAGGAGCAATGGCCTAAAGACACCCCCGTGTAATTGGAAGAAGTCTTTGTCTGCCATCTACCAGGTCAGGCACCCAGAAAGGTAGGAATTCTAAAACAAACTACTGCTGATCAAATAAATTGTAAACCGAAAGCCGAACTAACAACAGAACTCCCCAATCAAAACCAAGGAAACAAGTATGACGTCACCACAAACACCGCACATCCGTCTGCGCAACCCCCCCTCCCCGGGAGGGGGATGGGGGTTCCCAGACCTCCACGCATACAACTCTCCTCAGTTCAAGAGGCTGCTGTGTTGGCGACGGTCGATCGCTCTGGCTCCACTCTTTGCACAGTGCTGCAGTGCATTGTTGTTGCTCGGTTTTGGTGGTGTGTGAGCCAGACGTAACACAAGAGTAGTGGGGCTGCATGCACCTAGGGCCGCTTTCCCTAAGTGCCCTGTAAGTACTCCCTTTGCGGCTTCAGGGTTATCTTCCATGAGCCGTTCAGGAGCAGCTACCTCCGTGTGGTTCTGTCGCTGCTCGGTATTTGCCCGCCCTTGAGGGTTCAGTTGGGATGGTTCTTACTCCTGTTTTCCCTCGGGTTAGGAGGTAGTTTCATCGCTGGCTGGGGCGCGAGGTACTGTACTGTGCAGTTGTCTGATATACGCATAGCGACCGGTTCTGTTCTCCTGGAGACATTGTGCTTTTGCGGGGTTTTTGGTAGGTTTTTGGTGGCCCTCCACTAGGTCCCCATGCTTGCACACATCGCAGGGGTTCAGCTTTTAGATTGCTTGCTTGGTAGCTCTGGGATAGCCGGTTAGCAGTACCTCGCCTGGGCTTCCCTTAGCAGTCAGCCTAAGGGCCATGGAAACCCCCATTGGGGCTCAGTGGTCCAATGTAGGAGACCTCTGAGTCCCACCTCGCCTTGTGCGAGTTTGAGGGTTGCTATGTTTCCCTGTTTTGGGGTGACACTCACCGTCTGCCTCCGCCTTGCTGCTTGTTGAGGTCAGTGACACCTATGACCCCAGAGTCCTGTGAGTGGTGTTCTTTGCTTGTACTCCATTCACCCAGTCCACTGAGACTGATATTTGGGTGCAGGCAGCTTTAGCGTTGCATGCAAGGTTCAAGTTGCAGCAACGTGTGAGGTTGGTTGCCTTTCCGGATGCCCCGCAGCTGCCCCGCTGAATTATACTGGTAGTGAGACTCGGGTGGCTTCAGGGATTGCCCCTTCCTGATCTGCGGCGGAGGCATTTGAGCCTGGTCCTCCTGCCGGAGCTTTTGGGCCACGCCAGTGGGCCCCCTTCATCCCTGCTTTTTCTCCAAAGGAAGGGGGTTTGGAGGACGGCTCGGCCCCGGGTTCTAACATGGAGGATTCCGGGGCTGGGGAGGAGTTGACTTGGGGGGGGGCCTGAGCCCCACTTGTCCCTGCTTGGGTGTTTGGTACCCTCGGCTCAGGGCTTGTTGTTACAGGGGGAGGGGTTTTCCTTTCACCCTCCCTGTACAATTTTGTTATGAGTTTGACGCCTCCCCGGGTTCGGGTCCGAGTTCCCTTGGGTTCTTCGGTTCCCTCCTGGAGGTTTTTGGCTTCCCGCCTCCCACCGAGGAAGGTGTGGGAGGCCCTTGCGGCTTACCTCCTGCGAGACCCGGATTACGCCTCGATAATGAAGCCTTCTTTTTGAGTTTGGCTCCTCTTTTTCTTTATTGGGTGCTTCGCATTCGTCCTGTCGGAATGCGCACTTGAATGGCGAGAGTTACCTATGGTCGTTCAGGTTTTCCTGGAGGGTGAGTTGGAGCACCTCAAGGTGTGCTAGTTCGCTCCCGTCCTTTCTTTTGATGTCGGCCAGGTGCGGCTTCACGTGCAGGTTCCCTCCCTTTCGGCATCCCTAGTGGCCGCGGATTTGTGAGCCCGTGGGCACTTGGCTTCGGTCTTGTGCTTCTTTTCCCTACTGGAGCTGTCTTTGGACTGTCTCGTGCTGGGTGTGGAGGAGCTGGTTACCGGGCCAGGGTCCGGTGTGCTTGCTTCAGCAGCTCGTGTGCTGGCTGCTTTGGTGAAGTTGTATGCGCCGTTTCTGAGGGAGGCAGTGTCTGTTCTTCGCTTCTCGCCTCGCGTGCTAAAAATTTTGAAATCATCTTGGGCCCTGGCTCTTAGATTTTCATCACCTTTTTGTCCATTGCTGTTTGCAGAGTCTGCAGTGGTGCTTTTTCTGCAGGAGGCTTCGTCTAGATGATGGCCTTTGTCGGACTTGTAGGCTCTCCGGGGGGACCATGGAGGTCCTGCCCGGTAGGGTCGTGCCAGGTCTCGGGGTTCCTTCGGTCATCATAAGCCAGTAGTGGCAGATTCGGGTCCGGCACCTCCTCTGGAGCCGTCGGCGTCTGGTCGGCGCAGTAATCGCTCTTGGCATCAGTTGGGCTCTCATAAGGGTCGGCTCTTTTGTGGGCTGCCCCGTTAATGGGGCGATAGGGGAAGGGGGGAAAGCTCACGCTGTTTGCTCTCGCCTAGTCCCAAGATTCGTGGGCATTTCGGGTCATTTCCTCCGACCTGTGGTGGCATTGGGTCACTTCTCCTCCTTCGGGGGAATCGGGGCAGGCAGGGCAGGCCTCTTCTCCGGTGCTCTGTCAGGTCATCCGGGAGTGGGGTTGCTTGGGTGTGGTCGAAACAACAACGTCCCTTGGGTGGGTTTCCCACCTGTTTTCAGTTCCGAAACGGGATTGTGCGCTTCTGTGATTCATACTGGACTTGCCTAGTCTGAACCCCTGGGACTTTTGCCCCTCCTTTCGGATTACCACTCTGTCTCAGGTCCGGCTGCTTTTGGCGCCGGGAGCCTGGATGGTGTCTCTGGACCTCCGGGACGCGTATTGGTTTTATCATTTTATTGTACACGTCCTGATTCATCCGGGGTTCAGTGACTGGCTCAGTGTTGTCATGGGACGACAAGCTTACAGCTTTCGTTGCCTTCCATTCGGCTTGAATCTGGCACCTCGAGTGTTCACATGCCGTGTTCACACAGATGTACCGTCAGATGTACTGACGGTACATCTCCTTCCATCA